AAAAATCAATGGTGAATAAAAAAATAAATAAAAAAAGATCATCGGAGTCACATCGTGTCTTCACGGCGACACGCACAGTTGTGGGATGGTGAGGCTAACAAAACAGTTCCAAGATTTGTTGTTTGAAGGTCACAGCAAAATTCGCCATCGAAACCTACTGCCGATGGTCACAGCAGCCGGGCTTGCAAATTCAAAACATAATCACAATGATGTTTAAACAAAAAAAAAAAAAACAATATTATTTTAAAATAAATTTTTTAAAAATTGTTAAAATTAACTCGATCATTTCAATTAAACTCTAAGTTGATCTTAAATTACCTTCATTTGATTAAATAAACTTCTAAAATAATTCAAAAAATACCAGCTCCGATCATGCTTTGATTTTTAACCAAGTTTAAAAACTATAATATATATTTGTTAAACTTGATATAAAAAGTTATGAGTTAGCTAGGTTTTGAAGTTGAAGATGAGTTGGTTAGAAAAACCTCCAACGAACGCCTTATTCAAGCAAGGTTTTCAAGTTTAACCAAAAAATACAAGTTTAACCAAAAAATACGAGTCCACTAAAACATGATTAACCTGACATAGTGGATCATAAATTGATTACCCCAGTCAAATCATATTAGATTAGCTTTAAGAATTTTATTTAAAAAAAAAACCATATGACTTATAGTTTAAATTGATAATCTATTTTTTTTATTTTTTAAAAATTATTTTTAGCATCAATATATTAAAATAAAAAAATATTAAAAAATTATTTTTAAAAAACAAATTGAAGTTCTTTCAGCCCTTGACCTAGTATAAACACCCCCCCAACTTTTGAAAGTATTCAAAACCATGCTAAGGGGGAAGAACGAACTTGTTTGGTTTTGGGCTCGGAATATACAATTGTAAACTTAGGATATCCAGGAATAGCATCAAGAAATTGGTTTTCAACTACTAATATTGAGATTATGCTACTCTGCTACTCTGACCTTGCATTTAATTCATATATGCAAGATACTGCAATTCTTATACACTCAAAAATACAATATTTGCCACAGCTAAATATCACCCTCATACAGAATTTGCAATATACTAAAAAACTAATCTGAATTTTTTATACAAACAAGGGGATACCAAAAGTCGAGGGAGGGATACCAAACTCGAGATATATATATTTTGTCCATCGCATGCCAAAATTTGGTGATAACTTTGGAAAATCTAATTTGTCTTTAAACAGGAAGGCGAAACTTCAAAATAAGTCGGTTTTGGGGTTGAGGGGTAACCAACACACTGGATTAACTCCTCCACAGTTAGCACATGAAACTTTGGAGGTGAATTAAGAGCAATGTTGTCAACCCGATGCTGAAAGATCTTCCCCTTGCTGTCAAGTTTGTACTCAGATAGGCCATCAAATCGAGCATGACTCTCCCATGGGACTCGTGGGATGCCATGGACTGTCCATCGAACCATAATCACATTCTCTGCTGGCTGTGACACACTAATGATGTCAATCCACAAAGCCCTGAAAAATATCCTTCCATGGAATCGCAGAGCCCAGAACATTGATTTATAACTCTCAATGCCACCAAAGGTATTGATCGGATCTTTAAAGACAATGTCATCCCTGAAATAAGCACAGAATCCAATAAAGAAAACAATTTCCTTATAAGAGCACCTCTAAAACACCAAATAGAATAATTCTCATGCAAGTTATTTGGCATGGATCACACCAGCTTTACCGAGTGTTTGTGCATCTATGTGCCCGCGTGCATTGTATCTCCTACAAATTAGCAAATCATAAAACATGTTCACGCAAAAACTTTTAAATGACAGTAAAAACTGCACCACTGCCTTCTCTCCTACTGATGACAGTTGCATACCATCAACAATTATTTTGGGAGAATCATCTAAACTTTCAGGAACCTATTTGTAGACCAACCCTATTGGAAAATAACATTAAAAATCAAAGCAACAATACTCTTCTGCTTGGGCAAGCGCACCTCTAAACTTAACAAGATTATCAAAACGAATGAGTTCAATGTTTCCGGACAGATGAAGACTGAAATCAGTAATATCCATCCTTGGCAGTAAGGTAAACAATTTTTAACCTTGGAGCCACAAGACAAGCAACATATCCCTATCTAGCGGCTTCCGTTACTACTGAAACTCTTGCAATTTGATCATTTTGGTCCAGTTGCCTGTACTGATAATCCATTATTATTGTTCACCAAATGGAAAACAGGGACAAGAAATCCATGTTTAATTGTAATCTTTAGTTAAAACGATCCTAAAATTCGCAATGAAAGCCTTCCAATCACAACAGCTATATAAGAATCAGCCATGAGCGTAAAAGCAACACATAACACACATTCAAAATGGTCAATTTCTTACTAAAGAAGCACCCAAACCTGTAGATATCAAAACTGAGCTCTCTATAAAACAACCCGGGAAACTCCTCTCTCAAAGTCCTAATCGCATAACCCATATTCACATAGTAATTCTGCTTCTCCTCTTCCTCGTTAGTCCTCTTCGTTCCTTGTTTGACCGGAGCTGAAAATTGACCGTACAGCCTCACATTTTGATTCAATCCCGAAACCCTGACATCACTTCTAGCCCTGATACGAACATTAAGGCTCTTGAGATTTCTAGGGCTAGGGTTAGGGTTAAAGAGGATTTTTGCGGTGGAGATTTCTCGTGAATTTATGAAGAGAGCCATTAGAAAATTGGATTTTGAGTGAAGCTGAGAGCCGAGAGAAGCGAATCTAATTAGACGAAAGTGAAAAGAAAATTTTCCATTTTCCGGTAAAGCCTTGAGGGGATGCGTGAATGGACTTGCTTGGTTGGCGGGGAAGATAAAATCCGTTTGGGATAATGGTTGCGATTTTTTTGGATAATTTTAGAATTATCTGTTGATTAAAACTGAATATATAAAATATCCGATTGGACACGCTGCCTAGCCCTCGGACAATAACCTCTGCAATGATGACACGCTCATCCTTCCACCGGGTTTGAAACGCTGCCGTTTTCATACTATAAACTACAATCATGTTGGTTTTTACATTTTAAAAGTATTTCCGAAAAAAATATTATTTATTTATTTTTTTAAATTTTTATTTATTTATGTTTTTATATATTTGATATCCTAATATTAAAAATATTTTTTAAAAAAATAAAAAAATATATTATTTAAATATATTTTCAAACAAAAATAAAAAATACAACACTTTCTATTATTACACTAGAAAATAGAAAATAGACTCAATACAACTAGTTGATAATTTCAATAATAATATATAAAAATAATAAACCAGCCATTATTAGTCCAAAGATACATGCTTTAGCATTCATTTCAGAAACGTATCCTGAACTTTAGCTTAAGTCCTTTTTAGTTAGAAATAGAACTAAAATTATTTGATATAGTTCAAAATTAATATAATAAGGTATAATTTTTTACTTGTAAATTAAATTGGCATATAAGAGTAAAATTAATCTATGAAAAAAAATGATATATAAAAACAAATCTAATAAGGTATATACGAGAAAAAAATGATAATTTTAACGACTTTACTAAAAATAAAACATAATAAATCCAAGTATAATCGAAACAAATATATCAAATATATCAAATTAATTAGAAAAAATGACATTCACTATAACAAGAAATAAAAAATGATAAAACTAGTAGATTTAGAAAAAACAATAACAAAATTATATATATATAAACCTCAACAAATTCTTAACAATCATAAAAAAAAAAATTAGATCACTAATTACCTTGTTTTGATGAACAATTATATATATAAACCTCATCAAATTCTTAATAATTATAAAAAAATAAATAATTTTAAATTTGATTCATTAATTACCTTGTTTTGTTGAATAATAAATTAATTGACAGCTTTCCTTTAATTTTTATGCATTGCTTTGTATTATTATATTTTCTTGTTATGATAGAGAAATGGTAAAGAAAAATAAATAAATTTTAAAAGTTGTTTTCTTTTCACTTATAAGGAGAGATAATTTTAAATTCAAAGATAACTAGTGAAATAATAATATATTATTAGAAAGCTATTACTTGTTATATTTAAAAATTAAAAAAAAAAATCTAAAATAATTTGCAGGGATGCTCTGCCCTTGCCATCCCTTAGTTCCGCCTCTGCTTCCGGTAGTCTTTGCTTTGTCAATGGAATGAATTTGAAGTATTTATATGAGTGCTAGCTTTTTTGGCTAAAAGTTCTCTCATTGACAACATCATACTGTATTATTATGGATCTTCAAGGCTTCAACCAGCTGCCAGCAAAAGAAATGGCTACCAATCTCCCGTAATTATCATTAACATTAATCAGTATTTATTCACAGGTAGCGAGTACTGGCTATTTATGGCTTGGTTTGCTCCTATTAACTTAGTTATTGGACATAAGTTTTCTTTTCTTTTCTTTAGTATCAATTTTAATTTTCGTGGCTTATTTGCAACGAAGCTCTATACATAGTAAATACTGTAGAAATCTTTTTACAATATAGACACTAGGCTTTTCAAACTTGGGACGAGGCCGGGGCATGGCTGTTTTAATTACCATACATGTGTGTGTGTTCATGCCAATCATGGGTTTCTGCAAGAGGCAGAATATGGAAGCTGGTACGGTAGATTTTGAAGTCGAAGAAGGCCAGACTCTTACTAAGTTTGATGTTGTGGAACCACGATTGTGATTTATAAGCATGATGTGCTATGTTTAGTTGCCAAAGCCTCTGGACGCGAATTTTCATCAGCTATCTCTCTTTTAAAAATTATTTTGAAATTTATATATGTTTGTATTTATTTTCATCAGCTATCTCTCTTTTAAAAATCATTTTGAAATTTATATATGTTTATATTTTTTTTTATTAAATAAATAAAAATAATAATATTTGAATTCATAATCACTTAGTTATCATATTATATTAAAAAATCATCTTCATATAATAACTTAAATTATTAAATATAATTTATACTATTATTTAATATTATCATTACCGAACCCTCCATAGTATTTGTTGATAGGTGATGGACAATTGAAGCAGCAAACCATGTAAGTCAATCTCTTTGGGGGCAATAAGTCATGCCAATTAACCTTGAAGCTATCAGGGCTTTTTTTTGTTGTTGTAATTCCAGCTTGTGGATTATCCTCTAACCAAGCAGTTCGCCGGCTTCCCTTCTCGTGGAGCAGCAAGCACGTCACAAACTTCTCGTGGAGGCAATAATTTATTATCTTTTATGTTTCTTTTCCATCTCCCTTGATTTTTTCCTACTCCCAACTTCTTGCGACTTGATCACTGGATGTTGAACTTGCCTCTTTGATGCATTAAGGGGATGTGTGGAGACGCTAGCGTAGATGGTTTTCCATTTTTCCGACCTCATTAATAGACAATGTCACGTCTCTTTTGAAGATTCTGTCTATGGAGGACTTAGTAGTCTGTATAGGAGGCAAGAACAAGTCTTTACACAATCATGAGGTAAGTGCTCTTTCTGCAAGGATATCAATTATATTCATTTTTCTGGATTTCAATCTTGAAGTCAGCATTTTGTGCATTCATTTTTCTGGATTTCAATCTTGAAGTGATCAGCATTTTGTGTAGAAAATTAGAATGTAACGCATAATTATCATCATATGGTTCAGCCGTGATTATTCCAGGCTAGGCGCCTTAAGGAAAAGCTACGGAATGAAGAATCTGGTTTGTCAGATGATACAATCTCAAGGCGTTTGTGGACTCAAACTTATGTTGTGGCCTCAACAGTTCTGCATTTAGAGGAGTCACCTGTCATGGAACAAATTGGGAATTTTCTGATGAAAGGGCAAGGAGATTACATGAATCTTCTTCCTTTAATTCATAGCACTATCTTGTCTTTATGCTATTGAAAGATGCAGCATGTTCATGGTGCTTCAGTTTTGAACAGGTAAATTATAATAAACAAGACAAGATTGCAGTACTTCTATATTATTCTCAGCATGAATACCTTGTAAATTGTCTAGTGGAGAGAAGTTGTAATTAAGTAATTAATAATTTGCAATGAAGGTATTATAATTATAAGGTATTCAAATAAATAATATTCATGCCATACTACATTATAAAAAATATTTTTTTTACCAGAAAATATGAGATATTAATTTGTGACCGAATTTAGTCACCGTATTTTTTTATCCGTGACAAATTTATTATTGAAATTTATGGTCACAAATTCCTCAGATTTTAAAATTCTCAACTTCTCTCCTCTTCCAAAATTAAAAATTCTTGACCAAATTTGGTCACAAACGCATTTTATTATGTGTTTTTTATTGCAGTAGAACTTTTTCAATCACGTAGCGTGTGTTAAGGATACTTCTGACAGCAATCATGATAGCAATAATTCTGAAAGTAAACGCAGCCGTAACAGCATTTATCATGGCAGCAATAATTCCAGCAGTAATCATGGTAGTAGCAGCTGCAAGTCTCAGCCTGCAGTTTCAGCAAGATTTCAAGCAATCAATCCAAAGAATCCTAGCACTAATGCCATGATCATTCAAGCAAAATCACAGGAGATTCCAATCATTCCAGCAAGATCACTCTGACAGTAATCACAGCATCAATAACGTGAACTGCAATTATATTTTCTAGCACATGACAAGCTCATCATCCTTCCAATCAACCATAATTGTAATCTCAAGTAAATGCTAAGAGAATCACAATATTTACATCATGAATAACATCAATATATGTATATATATATCAGCTTATAGATAATATTGCAAAATTATACTTTACAGGAAACTTAAGGCACAAATGTGTTGTTTCTATTATGTATTAGCGTAATTGTGATAAATATTTACTTGTTTATCATCGATTTTTCAGTGATAAAATAATTGTTTTTTTTAGTGGCAAGTAAATGACTATGGACTGACAAGGTAAATTCATTTATTGCATGGTAAAAAAATAATATATTTTTTAGTAATTTAATTAATATAATTAAAGTACAATTTCAACAATGAAAAGTGCCTTGTCACTTTAGAAAAAAACAAATCAGTATTTCCTTTAAAAATTAAAAAACAAATTCTTAAGTGATTACGAACTAAAAAGCATTTACAAAATCTTGCTTCTTTCGATAGTCCTTGAGGTTCTCCTTAATTATCGTTATCGACAGTAGTATTTTTTCATCCTCTTGATACCTTCTTCTATAAGACTCGTTTCTTTTCATTGTGAAAGATGAAATTAAAAAAGAGAGGGTTGTAATGTAAAACAGGGGGGAAACATGTGGCCATTTTTAAAGTTGATAGAAAACTGCTTTTTGACCCATCTATTTTCTGTTATTCTCCAATTCTATTCCTTTCACTTTTAGAATTATAGTTTTGATTTAATTTTTATTTTATCTTTTAATCACTAAGTTTTGGGAGATAAGAGAAAAAATCATTAAAAAATAACAAGGAAAAGAAAAATTTGTCAGCTGGCTACATTTTGATAACAAAAAAGATTGATTTTAATGTTAGCAAATTTTATTTGATGAGCAAATGTCTACCAAAGTATTTTTAAGCTTTTATTCTGCTGAAAAGGTACATTAGAGTTGCTAAAGATTTTATTCAGGTTTGATTTTATGTTTTTTAGATCTATTTATGGTTGTTTTGAATTAAAAATTTGATTTATTACCATGTTAAAGATATGTACTAAAAAAAATAAAAGTTACAAAATATTTTTTAGACCAACGAAACTTTGGCCTAATTTTCCAACCACCTTTCCGGTGGTTTGAGTTAGGGCAAGTAGAAAATAGGGTCCATAAATAACTCTTTTTCCTTTTATTTATCTTTTAATTTTTTTTTAATTTTATTATTTTGTTGTCTAATTTTATAAAATTAAATTTTAAATTATTGTTGAAAGATAAAACTACATAAGAACTGGTCACAATGTAAAACACGAGAAAAACACATGAAGTCTCAAAGTCGAAAAAAAAATGCTTTTGAACCCACCTATTTTTCTTTCTACTACTCAATTCATTTTGCTTTTTGAAATTTTAGTTTTAGTTAAAAAATTTATTTTGTTATTTTTTTTGTCCTTATATTCGAGAGAGGAGAAAAAATTATTAGGTGAGCATATTTCACCAACAAAAGATTGATTTTATAGTTTACATGTTTCATTTAATGAGATGAGTTCTGATAAGATGTTTTTAAATTTTTAACTTGCTTGAAAAGGTAAATTAAAATTGAGAAAAAATTATTTTTTGTTTTAATTTTTAAACTGATTTATTAAGGTTTAGTGTTGAGAGATTATTTTATTGACATGATAATAACATTTATTGGTATTTTTAAGTGAAAATAAGTTGAAAAAAGATTTTTTAAATCCAAAAAATTTTAAAATTAGTTTTCCAACCACCTATCCAATATTTAAAAATTGAGAAAGTAGAAAACGCATCATTGTTTTTATTTTTTTAAGAAAAAAGGCCAAAAAAAATTTTATTTATCAAATTGATTTATGTAATTAAAAACATAAGTCAATTGTTCTGCTCCCAATTAAAAAAAAAATAAAGTTAAAAAACACCTTCAAAATATTTGCATTTCTTTTTTAAAAAATTATTTTTTATCCCAACCCCCAACCCCCAGTGTAGCACAGCACGGATAAACAAGCTGGTCTGGACTAAACTAGTACATAGAAAAAACTTTCACGTGCATTAAGGAGTGACAGAAAGGTTTCCACGGATCGTTCATGTTAAGCAGTTGGAGAGGTCATCTTCAAAATTTTATGATCCCTGTTAAGCAGTTGCTAGGAAGTTTGTTTAAACCGGTGAAATGGACTCTCGTAGTCATGTGATACGGGCTTGATGGACTTGTCCAACGAGTGGATCACGTGCAGACCTTTCTTTAGTGTACAAGGGCCCATGGCCCAAGGCCCAAGAACAGAAAAACAGAAGTAATCACAGTATCTGAAAAGATACCATGGAACTCCCGGCGTCTTTGCTTCTCGTAATTGAGGGATGCTGGTACAGTACTTAATTATTGGTATTAATAAAGAAGCTCACAGAAGCGAAGGCGGTCCGTTGTTACAAATACTTCATATGCTCTAGATTTTTTTAATGATGTTTCTCATCAACCTCTCGAGGACTGGTAGCTCGCAACTTGATATATATATATATATATATATATATAAAACCGCCCTTGATGATATATATATATATATATATATATGAAACCGCCCCTTGATGAATCTTGCAAGAACAAGATGTTCTAAATTTTTCCAGTCGAAGAAACTGGATCAATTCATCATTTAAGAACACAGCAACAAGAACTATCTAGATAGTGATCAAGTGATAAGGAATTGGGATCAAGTGATTTGCTCTCTCTGTGGTCTCAGATTTGAGTCCTTGGTTGCTCATATGATGGCCACTGGAGGCTTACATGGTCGTTAACTTCAGGGCCTGTGGGATTAGTCGTGATGCACGTAAGCTGGCCTGGACACCCACATTAATTAAAAAAAAGAAAAAGAACACAACAACAAGGAACAGCGGGGGATACCCACATTAATCTAAAAAAAAAAAACACAACAACAAGGAACAGCGATAGCCATATAGACTTTTATTCGTGTTCAAGCAGTGACTTGGTTCTTTGCCAGCACCTATGTATCCCTTGGGCAACAAACCAGAAGTCTTCACCATTTCAGGACTTCTTCCACATAATAGATGTACTGTTTAATTTGCCAAGATGAAATCAAATCTGATTGATTCAAAACAATTTGAAATTCAGAGACAATTTAGAATTTAAACAATTTTTTTTCTTACTCAGACAAAGAACTGGTAAGGACAAAAATGGTTGGCGTGTATAATACACGCATGAGACCACCACATAATAGTGGTGTGTGTGGCTTCCTCCGAGATTCGAAAGTGATCTTCACTAGTACCACTGGAATCATGCCAAAGACGCCTACCTTATCATAGAGCACAAGTTGACGAAGGAGATTCATCGTGGTTCGGACAGTCCATTTTTATTCCCTTTCCCCTTCTCTTATCCTTTCATTGGTTTCCACCCCCGACTCTCTCAAAAATAGAATAAAAGATAAATGAGTATGCAAATATTTAACCTCAATGTTTTCCTTTAATTTATATTTTTTCTGTTTTTTTTATCTCAAAGGTTATTGTGTTTTCCTTTAATTTATATTTTTTCTGTTCTTTATCTCAAGGTTATTTTATCAAGAAAAAAATAATTTTTATTTTTATAATCACATCATGAAAATAAAGTTTATTTATATATAACATAAATAAATAATTTATAAAAAAATTAGAATAACCTCTTTAAAACACTAAATACATATAAAATAATTAAAAAGATAAATTTTTTTATTTCACGGTGCTCTGTATCTGCTGTTACAGTGCATACATGTTACCATAGTAGAAGCACCACGTCTTTAGTATTTTCTACAAGAATATAATGATATACCGACACAATATTTCTTTCTCTCTCTGATTCCTCAAGTAACGAGGATTCTACTTCCTCAATTTACTCTTCTATGTCCATCGATCTATGTAATGATTATTCAAGCAAAGGACCAAAATAAAATTAAAAAAAGAAACAGAGAGAGATTAGGAAACAGTACCTGGCAGAGTAAACAGCCTAGGGAGGAAGAAAATAATCTACGTGCTGTGTTATTATATATATTCATTTCAGTATAATCGGCACATTGTTTTTAGTATAATTCCCACGCATGATTCGAGTCAAACTCTCTAATTTATACATATTCCCAGTCTAATTTTACATATACAATAATTCCTAGATGAGTTGCTTCCACGCCTTCATTAATCTTTGTTTTTAGCGTTATTATATATGATAAACACATTCTAAATTAAATTAATAAAATTATTTTTTAATCCGTGAGTATCAATTAAATTAATAAAAAATTTCACAAAAAAATTACTAGTTGTAAGGTGTGAAAATCATTTTTTCACGTAATCTTGCGATAAGGGAGAATCTTATGATTCTCCATAGTATACTCTGCAA